ACAATGTCTAAAAAGTTTTTTTTTGATTGTGAAAGCAATATATGATTTTAAAAATAATGTGTCATTACAGTCAGCAAACCCATCACTACCCTCACATCCACTCACTATGGTGCGGGTCCCACCCTTGCCTGGGTCCTCAACATTTCAGCCAGAGGAAACAGTTAAAATGCAAGTCGGGCCATATATATTCTTCCAAGAACCCTCCTCACTGCTTCCCATCCACTCAGTACAAAGGCCACGCCATGAAAGTGGCCTTGAAGGCCTAACAGAATCTGCTCTCCACCCCACCCCTGACCTTTTCACTCTACATCCTACTGTCTCTGCTTTGTTTCCTCTGCTCCCTGAGCAAAGAGGCCCGCAGCTGCTTCCTGTCTGCCGCATGCGTTGGTCCCTCTGCCTGAGCACTCTTTTAAATGGCATCCTTCCCATCATTCTCTTCCGTCTTTCTTGCGTTCTGTTTTCTTTAGCGCATGCAGTTCCTCTACACACGGTACATGTTAGTTATGTTACTATCTTCCGTTCTGAAGGAAGTGAAAGGTCTATGAAAGCACAGGTTGCTGTTTGTTCTGTGCACTGCAAGTCCCGTTTTTAGAAGAGTGTCTGGCACAGGAGAGGAACTCAATAAAGAACTAATAAATAAGTCCCCTCTCCCAATACCCACCCCTGCAACCCTGTTCTCTCCCTGACTTCTTTATATCAATGAACGGCTCTTGGCTACAACTTGAGTCATCCTTGGTTCCTGTCTCTCTCCTCTACCCGGCTTCTATTCCACTCGCCTTCAAAATCGATCCCAGAGGGCTCCGTCTCCACTGTCGCCAGCATCTCCTTCACCTTTGTTCTTGTAACACCTTCCTGACAGATGTGTTTAGCCAGAGCAGCCAGAGTATTCTCCATTGAGCTGCCCGGAGTGTTCTCAAACTTAAATCAGATCATGCTCCTGCTCGGCCTAAAATGCTCCGGGGGATTCCCACTGCGTTTAATGTAAAACCAAACTCTATGGGGCTTGCAAGCCCCTACCTGGTCTGGCCTGGGCCTGCCTCAGCCTCCCTCCCACTTCCCGGCTCCCTGTAGTTCCTCCATCCCAGGACGAGTTCCTATCCAACTCTTGGAAGGACCTCAGCTCCTGGACAGACACTCAAGGGATCTCAGCTCAAATGTCTCTTTTTGAGAGAGGCCAAGCCAATCTAATGTGGCCCTCCCCCTCTTTTATTTTCTTATTATAATAAAAATGTATCTTATTTGTTGCTTATTTATTTTTTCTGGTTTTTCTCCCAACAAGATCGTAAATTCCACTCATGGGAAGGCTAATTATTCATGTGGTATCACCAGTACCCAGAATAAGTCGACAAACTCCTGTTGAAATAGTGGGTACTTGGATTTCTGTCAATTACTAGAAAACTGTTTTCTCCAGCTCAGTAATCATGGTATTTCTAAAATCAGTATGTATGTAGATGTAAATATTGAATTTCTAAAAGAACTGTGGTATGCTATAAGCCTGAGAATAGACATGACCACTGACTTAGTTTAAAATGTTAGGAATATATAAAATAGAAATGGATAGAGTTATTTAACAGTGAACAGAAGAAAGGACAGACCACTAGATGGCACTGTCTCACCTGCTTGAACACGATTTTAGTAAATTTAGAGCCAGAAGAGATTCAAGAGTTAAGCCATGTATTCCCCCTCACTTTATAAAAGAGTAGTTTGGTCAAATTTTAGCTAATGTACTTTTTCAGGTAAGTAAGTTAAACTTCTATTAGAAACATTGCTGCCTTTATCAGCACATTCATATTAGCAGCGCTTTTATTCTATGTACTGTGTGCCTGACCTCTGTGCTAGTCCTATGTATACAACGATTATAATGCACTTCCCATACATTCAAGACACTAATTTTACACTCACAAATTTGTGGGAGAAAGAGATCCATAAATTAAATATACATATATATCTGTGTATGAATTATATATAAAATAAAGAAAATAAGTGCTGCAATGAAATAGTAATGTAATAGGGGAACCCAGATGATGGAGTCAGGAAAGACCTCACATAGATATTTGTTTGAACTATTATTTAAAATTAAGAACTTGTATCCATATATGCATAGCCATGGAGACAGACAATAGTGAGGTGAAGGCCTGGGGTGGGGCAGGGGCTGGGAAGAAGGGCAAAGGGGGGGAAACCAGGCAGGATGTGCATTTGTAATACTGTCAATAATAAACACACACACACGCGCACACACAGTAGGTGGAGCCCTTCCAGTCCTGTGGAAGAGGAAGCAGATGGAAGGCGATGCAGAAAGCCCCAGGAGTACCGAAGGCATGGCATGTCTCAACAGCTCCCCACCTTTTGATGTGCCTGGAGATTAGGGTGAGAGAATTGGGATTGGGAAACACATTGGGACAAGACTGAAGTTCTATATGCTTCATGCTAAGGAGGTTGCATCTTCTCCTGTGGAAGTTATAAGATCTGATTTGGGTTTTGAATAAATACCTGGTAAAAGTGATGGAAGGTAATTGCATAATGCCTGGCTTTGAGCTGATGTTTGCATTTGTTCATTCACTGCCACAATAAGATTTCTCTTAATTGAGTTGAAATAGACAGGTTGTGGCCTCTGGACAACTGACATGGGCTCCTGGACTCTTGGTAGCCGAAGCCAACATTTTTTCATCTGCCATCCCATTCGCTGATAATGCTAAAGCTCCACTGTGGACTTCTGCAGGGGGCTCCAGAGTGTGCGACAGGAGGCGCACTGCACAGTGCTGGAGATGGGGACATTCGGACCAGGACAGGGGTGGTGCCCTTGGGACCTGCACAATCATTGCTGCTGCTGATTGCATACTGGGCGCATATGTGGCCTGGCACCAGGGCTTCAGACCCGGAGCTTAAGTTATCTTCTAAGTCTTGTGGGTGTAGATGAGTTCTGAGAAGAACTCTGTTTTCTCAGCTTTTAAAACTCTTTGATAGTGGAGCACATTAGAATCTACTTAAGATCCCAAAGGAATTGCACAAAAAATTTAGGGGAAGACAGCCTCTACCTACAATGACTGAAAGACCCCGCAGTTTACCCAGCCATTAATTTGAGCCAAGAAGAAAGTGGGGAAGGAAGTGTTTGAATCTTAATTTCTGTGAACTTTAATGCTAAAGGGCAAGAGACTTTGATAGTGGACTTTCTTTCCCATTTAATTTGATTTCAGACACTAATTTTCTTAGGACTTTATCTTTTAATATTTTCCTGGGAATTAGATAACAGGAAGATTTTTATATTCTTATTTGGAGCATCTCTACATTGCCTCCTACAAATTCCTTAACTTCATTGAGAAGCCTCTGTTAGAATCCACGGGCCAACATGCCAGGGCAAAATTTGGGATGGGAAACAGAGCACAGTGACTTTTCAAGTTTAGGGCTGAACTCTAATCATTTCAGAACCTTCTGGGGAAAATGTCATCCTGGTCCCTGTGGTCTCAGGAAGAGCCACAAGAAGCAACTAGGATCAGCTCTATAAAAGCAGGAATTTTTATAACACAATTTTTAGAATTACTACTAGTAGTAGTATGGTATTTTATCTTGATATTCTTTTCCAGTACTCAGAATGATGTCTGGAACATAATGGGTGCTCAAATAAATATTTATCCCATGAATGGATGAGTGAATGAATGAACAGTAGTAGGTACTGCCTCATAAGGATAGGAACCTGATGCCTGGATAGATTGCTGATCTTCTTCCCAGAGGTGAACACCCCCCTCTCCAGTGGCTGACCACAGACTGAGTGGGGAAGCCCAGTGGGTTAAGATAGATGTTCTCAATGGGGCAGAACTGTTCCCTGGGGAGTGCTTTATGAAGAACGTGTGGTGTTTTGTGGTCATCACAATAACCTGGCGTTCTAACTGGCATTTACCACTCAGCAGTCATATGGCAGGATCCCATATTATAATTCACAGGAGAGTTCTGCAAAGTGAAGGTTTACTCTATGTCCAACATTATTGAATGTCCTGCCAGATATTTGTGTATAAAAAACTGTTTCTAATTATTTGATCTCAGAACCTAAACCCATCCAATATTCAAACATAAAAATATTTTTGCACAGCTTTAATATTCACCAAATTCCCCAAAATGCAATTGCTGTGTAAGTTGAAGGGTAGTTTTTGTTTTCTTTACAACTGTTTTATTTTAGTTTTACCATTATTTAGAAATTCATATTGCAGATGGTGATACTGCTACTCCATTTATGTTACAAGTGCAGCCCACCCATATTAGTTTAAACTTAAACTTTTATATCTGCCATGATTCCACATACTATAGAAGACTCTGACTACGTTATCACCTGACTTAGTGTAGTTGTTTCAGAGAATTGATAACATTGAAATCTGCACTATTTTGTATACTTTCCTTTTATTTCTCCTTTTCATTGCAGTTAGTACATTATATTGATTTATGAAACTACTAGAGGCCTGGTGCATGAAAATCCTCAGGCTTGTGGCTGAGCAGCGTTACCCCTGTGGGAGCGTACTGACCACCAAGGGTGCAGCTCCTGCTTTGAGCACCTGTCCCCTGGTGGTCAGTGCGCATCATAGTGACCAGTTGTTCAGCCCTTAGGGTCAATTTGCATATCACCCTTTTATTATATAAGATGTATATGGGGAGGCTATAGCATAGATGACTGTCTTTAGATGGTCAAGGAAGTATTACAAAGTATTGGTGGGAATGTTAGGAAGAAGCCATCTCCTTTTGGCTAGTTCCATATTTCCTGAGAGAGATGCATCAGCCAGGGTACCAGTTCTGAGCCCTCTCTGCCATTTCACTCACTGCTCACCACAGAGGAGTCTTAGCCAATCGGCAAGCTGGTGTCCAGAAGCTGGGCCTCCTCTGCATAGCTCGCAGCCCCTCTCATTTGCCTTCTCCTCACAGCCAGCCTCACACAGGAAGCTTGATTTTGTGATGTTCCTCCAAAGCCCAGCTCAGCCATCCCATGTAGGAGGCCTTTCCTGACCCCAAAATGACATCAACCATTCTCGCTTCTGTTCTGCTTTCCCATGTGGCCCATATTTGTCATTTTGTCATGTTGTCTGATTTATGTCTGTCTCCTCACTCTTCAGCTCCTTGAGGAACTGTATTTTTACTTTTCCACATCTTGAGTGCAGGGGACAATGCCCAGCACATAATGATGCCACGTGACTCTTTATGGAATGGATGTGATGTTAACTTCAGCACATCCACTCAGTGACATACACAGTTCACTGCATATTTGAATAACCTTCCAAATCAACCCTTTAAAGAATAGTTATATAATTACAGATGAATAATAGAATTGGCAAGTTTTCGCTTGTATATCTACCTACTGAATTGAATTGTTAGCTTTTCTCAAAAGTGATTTGATTATAATATCCAAGAAACAATCTAAAAGGAATCAAAAGTCCCATTTATCACAGAGACTCTCTGTCATAAAGACCCCTCCAGGCTTCCCATTCCAAGGGGTGCTCTGTTATCTGCCCATTTCGTATAAGCTGAAGAATTACCAAGTGAGGAAAACTGCTTTCCCAAGAAGCAAAATAAGGGTAGATCCGAACAGATGGTTTTTTATTATATCTAAAAGCTAGAAAGTAACTCTTTGTTTTCAATATTGCTATTTCTGTCTTAAAGTTACTATTGTTTTAATGACATTATCAAATCACAATCTCCTATATGGAAATGGACCTTGAGAATAAATCCTATCAACCTTCCCAGCAGAACCAAGCCCAAACACGCTTTATGAATTTATACTTAAAATAATGTAAATGCAAATCAATTATTTTTAATATTTTAAGAAAAGGAGATTGTACAGCCTCATGCCTTCTGTAATTTTACAAAGGGGAAAATAAAGACATAAGTTTGTTTACAAATTATATGTCAGGCATAGTGCTGAACAGTCTAGCATACATTATCCTCAAAATAGCTTTGCAAGATAGGTATGATTATGTGATTTTTTGTTTGTTTTTTTTAGTAGATGCAGTGCTAAGAAACAAGGAGACAAAATTTGTAAGGTGGCAAAATTAGGTTTGAGTGCATGTTATTTGTCTCTATCACTTAGTACCTTTCTGTAAAATCAAGGTATCTTACCCTAAAATCAAGGTTCCTTTGAACTTTCTTGAACATCAGCTGTTCTGCTGTTCCCGGCCATTTTGGTCTCATTTCAGAAAGGAATAATTCAATCTGAACTGACATTTCTTGTTAGCTCTAGGTTTTCAAGAACTCCCTCTGATCTTGCTCCTGTGTCAATACTTTATTTAAAGTTGTCATCCAATCTAATGAGTTTTTCCTTCATCTTAACCTTTCCCGGCCTCTAATTTACCACTTAAACGCATTGACCACCCATCCTTGGTAAAGGCTCTCTCCTTGACTTCGCTGATACTATGCATTCCTGGTTGCTGTTGTTTTCCATGACTCATGTTTCTTGTCTTTTGTTCTCCAGTTGCCTCACTGTGAGCCTTTCATGGAGTTGAGTGGGACCCTGGCTGTCTAGCTCCAGGCTGTCCCCCTCAATGAAAGCACCCTTTCCCCTGATTTCAGAAGGGCTCTTCTGCTCTCTCCCCTCTGCTCTGTTCTCTGGCTGGAGCTCTGTTCCATCCTCTGCCCACAGGCAATGCCATTTGTCTGCCCTGCTATGACCCAACCTGCCCCGATCCTTCACAAAAAGCATGTTCTCTTCCTAACAGCACTGACATTCTTCTACTCTCTGAGGCTTGGGGCTTATCACAGTGAAATATGAGACAGTATATAATTAAGGGCACAAGTGTGCACTCCACCTATGACTTTTCCTTCTCTGTTTAAAACCACACACACACACACACACACACACACACACGATTTCTTTAAAGTTTAACGTGATTTTGAACTTAAAAGTTTCTCTTGCACCAGACTTGTCATCTCTACCATCTCTATACCCTCCTGACATAAAGGTAATCTCACCTCGGGGCCCTAACTCCAGACACCCCCTGTGGCAATTTACCTGGAATCCTGATTTCAGGTTAGATTTTTACAATTCTGTTCAATTTGGATTTTAATGAGATTTTGGAACTAAGATATTGTCCACATCTAAAGGTAATATGAAAAGTAAGTCTATATACTTTAAGAATAGATAAGGGGTTGTTTTTTATATGCAGGGTTTACCAAAGGTCCTTTGAGTATCTCTTTCTATACAAGCTTATTCCACAGATCATCTCCTTATGAGGCATGGTTAAACAGTGAATCTTAAAGCTAATGTTAGAAGCCACCCAAAGTTTTTGAGTCTTCCATATTAAAGATTAATTTGATATAAAGATAGAGCATCTGTTATATTATCCTATATAATAAAAGGATAATATGCAAATAGACCGAACGGTGGAATGACCGGTCACTATGATGTGCACTGACCACCAGGGGGCAGACGCTCAACACAGGAGCTGCCCCCTGGTGGTCAGTGCACTCCCAAAGGTAGAGTGCCACTCAGCTAGAAGCCAGGCTCGTGGCTGGTGAGTGCAGCTGTGGTGGCGGAAGCTTCTCCTGCCTCCAAGGCAGTGCTAAAGATGTCAGGGAGCGGGCCTAAGCCATCAGTTGGACATCCCCCATGGGCTCCTGTACTGTAAGAGGGTGCAGGCCAGGCTGAGAGACCCCCCACCTCCATGCACGAATTTCATGTACCCGGGCCTCTAGTACATTATATCATTGAAGTATAGGTGATTTTAAAAATTAGCAGTACACACAATTTTCAAAACCTCCTGTATGGCTTAAAGTGGAATATACCATATGAAAGTCTGGATTAGAATACTTCTGTTAAGAAATATAATAGACTTACCTTTACGTAGTCATAAATGCATCTTTGCAAAGCAGATGCTGACTCCAGAGCAAATGTATTGAAGGTGAGTTTAATGAGTTTGTTTACCGGGGCGATTATGAACCATATGCAGTTTAAATTCTTGTCATATCTTCCATTTGCATCAGAATCAGGAGAGGCAAAGGTGCCATTGGAGCCTGTTAGATAGCCACCACATCCTTGTTGAGGCCCTGTGTCAAAATAAAGGCATCACTAAGCAAACCGAGAGGAACACATCTTAGTTTCCACATGGAGGCTTTTAAAATTCATATTGTTTCTACTTTCTCTCAATGTTTATAACTATTGTCAGACTGTTCCCTGAGCTTCAGTGGGCTTGTGCAGGTGCTGTTGCTACTGGCCTTAAGGTCTCCATTACCTAGTTCCTCTCCTCTCACCACCCCTCAATCTCTTTCTTCTCACTCACACAGAGTTGCTTAGAAAAGTGGGGAATCAGAGTTGGTTCTATGCATTTTTAGACCTGCTGACGTGATTTATTAAAGCCTTTTCTAGCCTTGAAAAATCCAATTTTATAGAAAACAGTGTTTTGCATAATAAAACTGGTGGAAACTGTGAACATGTTTTATTTTTATGTTTTGCTTTTATGAACACTATCCAGTTGAAAACTGAATTTATGAAGAATTTACCCAACATGCCAAGAAAATTGGCTCCCAACAAACCTTTTATTTAAATAATCTGTCAGAAAGAGGCTGAGAGGCATTTAGCACTTCCAGTTTATACTAAACCACATTCTAAATTTAATTTTCCCTTTTCCAGAAAAAAGAAGAGCTAAAGAAGAAGACCACTAGTGAAGAAAATAGTCTACTTTGAAATAAGAATTTTGAAATTTAGACTAAAAAGAAAGGGATAAAAAAGTACCTATGAGATGACTAAATGGTTTACTATGAAAAAATATGGAAAATCCTCAGAACATTGGATTTAGTTTCATCCACTCCACAGCCAAAGTCAATGCCTCAGAAGAGATTTAAGAAGGAAGAAAAACTATGGACAATTTCAACAGAAATAGTGAGGATGAATTAAGCTTAAAATAGTCGTAAGAGGACTTAGGATTAAATACTAGAACTAATGTTCATAAATTTTGCATTCTATACAAACATAGATCATTACTACTTTCAAAGTTAAATTTCACTGACTTTGGTCTTCATTTATTATTCTTATTCCATTTATTTTGCTGTTAATAGTGAAAGGGTTGCTTTCAACATTAGGGGGCGCTAAGATTTTGGACTTGGCGCTTGGCAGGAAATGCGCACAATGGCAGCCCTCCTCAGAGGCAAAGGCTGTCAACCTATAGCGTTGCTCAGGACTGAGGCATTATTTAGTGCAGTGGTTCTCAACCTTGGCTGTGAGGCCCAGAAATCAGGATTTTAAAAAGATTCCCAGATGATTCTAATGTGCAGCCAAGGTTGAGACCCGCTGATTTAGGAGGTCAGACTGCCTTGTCTACCGCTCCTAACTCAGGCCGAACTATAGATTATGGGCACAGTCAGATGTTTTCTGGAGCTGAAATTCTTCCAAAGGCCCAGTTTCTGATATTTTCCCATATGGTGGTATCTAGGACAAAATTATTCTGAAACCAAAGCAATGTGCAGTGCTTCATGGTATAATTCTAATAATTCTTTTCATATTAAATAGGCCTGCAAACTAAAAAAAGAATTGGAGTTTGCACAGCTTTTATTTTAGTATTGCTACTTAAGGAAACCACTTAAGCTTATTGACATGCATAGCTGGGAAGAACAATTACTTATGGTATTAATGAATTGATACATTTATTCATTAATTCAATAACTGTTGTTTTAATAATGAAGGAAATATATTTAGTATTGAAGTGGGAAAAAGATGAATAGTAGTCCAGGAGCAATGCTATGAATAGATAAATAATGAGAGCCCAATTTAGAAACTGATAGGTGCCATAAAGGAGGCAGGAAAGTCCTATGAGTTTAGCAAGAAGGGAAAATTACCTCAGGCTATGAGGATCTAGAAAGCTCAAGGAGGAGGTGGCATCTGATCTGGGTTTTGAAGGATAAATAGGACAAGATCAGGTAGAGATGGGCTTGGTGCTGGCAATTCCAGGCTGACAGCACCTCATAACCAAAGGTTAAGTGGACAAGAATTTATATTATATGCTTAGAAGAGCAAAATTCTGTTTGTGAAAACAACAGAGTACATGAAAGAGAATAATGAGAAGGTTAGAAAACAGGATGGGCTGTTCTATAGAGGGTCTCAAATGTCAGAGTACAGAATTTGACATTTAGACTTTTTTTCTGTGGACAATGGGGTCCACTTGAAAGTCTTTTGTCAGAGGAATGGTAGGGTCAGAATGTACTTTCTAGTCAAGTCTGATCTAAAATTGTATCTGGTAGTAGTGTTTACATGTAGGGGAATAGGACTGGAGGAGGTGACACCAGGTAAGAGGACATTGCCCATTCAGGGCTGGAGGTAGCAAGGGGCAATAAAGACTTGGAGGTTTTCACACAGGAAAATGATGCTGCTTGGCTTAATTCTATTACTACATCAGCTCCAAAAAACTAAATACTGTTCTTAAAAATTCAAGTTATATGTTTTATCACTTGTTTATTGTTATTAATAAGTTTATTGTTAAACTATCATGTTATTAATAAGTTACTAAGGGCAGAATGATAACTGTAAAAAGTGGGGACAGTAAGTGCCATTAAACACACTTATCATACAACTAGTGGCCCTATGCATGAATAGTGTGTAAGTAGCTCACTGCTGCTTGTGTCAGCTGGCCGCCCTGCCTACCGCTGCTCATAGCTCTCCACCACATGTAGCTCACTGTCCCGCCCTCCTGTAGCTCTCTGCCTCTTGTAGCTCACTGCCCAGCCCTCCTGCTGTTCGGTCGTTATATGACAGTGTCATGTAACGGGTAATTTGCATATTACCCTATTATAAGTATAGGTACTATTACTACTACCACCATACTACTGCTGTCATAAGACAGAAACACGCTTCTTCCTCCAAGGAACCCCAGGGCAAAAATCCATAAATCATTGGCATGTATTGGCATAGATTGAGTGGTAGACTGAATGATTCTTAATCCTTCAATCCCTCTGTCATCGGTTTCTCTCTTTGAAGTGCACTAGAATGGCGGAGGATATTTTTCTGCCCACTTGATGTTAGGCTTGGTCATATGACTTGCTTTAGACATTGGAATCTGTGTGGTCATGAAGTGGAAAGAGGCCTTAAATGGACTTGCGATGTTTGCTTGGCCTTTTGTGCTCCTGTGATTCACCCAGAGCTCATGCCCCGGGTGACTGCTGGTGAGAGAGAAAGTGGATGGAGGGCAGACATGAGCCCAGCCTGAAGTCTGGAACCAACCACAGTTAACCTGCAGCTGGGAGCAGAGGCAGTCAAACCAGTGACTGATAAAAATAAATGCTCTAGGCATAAACCACTGAAATTTGGATAGTTTGTTATGTACCCCTATTTTGGCAATAACTGACAATAAGTAGCTTGTTTGAGTAATCAAACTGTAATAAAGCACATTGTTTAATTCTTAAAATATACACAGAATATAATGAAAGTAAAAAGCTAACATTATCACAGATAATTCTTTCCAAAGTAGTCAAATAATTAAGTAAATAAAACATTATATGAGTGAATTATGTAATTCACCTTATGTATAAATATGAGTAAATATAGTACTATATGGGTGAATAGTCAAATTATTGAAGTAAATGTGTAACAAAGTCACATGAGTAAACACTTTTTGGTGTTTTTATGATACAGGAAATTGTTATAATTGCTCTGATTACACTACTCTTTAAAAAATGTTTTCTCAATTTCATTCAATATTATTCTGTACTAGAGGCCTGGTGCATGAGGTGGGGCTGGCTGGGAGGAGGAGCCATGGGCAGTTGGCTGGCCAGCCCTCCCGGTGGAACTCCCAGTCGAGGGGACAATTTGCATATTAGTCTTTTATTATATAGGATATTCCTCTATTTTTATATTTAAACATAGTACAAATGCTCTGTACTCTTGCTCCTCCTATGGAAAAATGTAAATATAAACATGTGTCTTTGGGAAATATAAAGATGAATATTAACAAAAGAAGGGTTATTCACCAAAAAGTATTATTGTCCCGTTACTATTTCTATATTTCAACAATAGCTGAATAGAATAGAACTCTGACTACGAAATAGTTTCATGCATAAGAAAATAATATTTATTTGCTGTACTGATATTTTAAAATTCCTTTTTAAAACACTAGTATAAGATACTAACCTCAACATGTGGTTTAGCACCATAAATCCATCATCTTCCTTGTTACTACACGTTTTCTACCAACTAGTGAACTCCCATCCATCAGCGGCTCCTCCATCCATCAAGTTGTGTCAGAAACACTCTGTAATGTCACTCTAACCTTCTTTCCCAAGTCGGAAACACTTCCGCAAAAGAACTACTTCTTCAGAGAAAGAAAATGGTTGGCTACAAAAATATTGGAAATGTGAACCCAGAGTATACAGTAAGATCTGGGTCAAGATCTTCTTAATTAAAAATCAGTAACTGAATCCTAAATTACTCCTCTCTAATTATTAAATTTCAGAGTGAAGCTCAAGCCAGGATAAATCTGATAATGTAAGAAAGGGCTATATTATCTAAGCAACTCATCTCGAAGGCTTTGTGGAGTCATACCCATTTCTGAATAGTTATTTTGAGAATTGACATTTTTGTGGCTGATATTTTGTTGAGGCCTTTTGGATAGCATCTCTATCCATCGCTGGGCAGCCACCACTTGGACAAAGGGTAGATGGCTGGCATACTTAGCACAAAGATTGGCCTGAGTTCAGGCATTTTCCTGTTCCCAGGAGCCGGCTGCAGCCCTAGGTTGTAGCTGGAGGAAGCCCAGTGATGCACAGGAAGCAGGACATAAAAGCATTGTAAGCTGGAGCCTTGGGGAAATGGGGTGGACCACAGAGAGATTGGGATTTTCAAAGCCGGGCGTACAACTGCCCGAAAGCAGTGAATTCGTTTTCTAAATTCAACTAAATTCCACATGAACCCATTTGTCTTTTTTATCTAAAAGTAAATTGTATTTACTATTCTACTCATTAATCTCAAGTACGTACAACCTTTTAGGTGTTATATTTATGTTACGCAAAATAAAATCTTAATGGTTTTGTAACATGAGTTGTATGGTTTTCTTTTAAATTTC